GTTACGATTATTTCGACGGCTTATACTTTTAAAAGTCTTGCTACCACGATACTGTTTACAACTACTACGGCGACTGCCATTATTTACTTGTGCTCCTGTTACTAGAACTACTACTACTTCTACGACTATTACGAATACAACCTTCATTCTTACGACGACACGACGACGACTACTACTACGATCGCTGCGACTACTACTATTATTACTGTTGCTAATACTACGATTATTACCACGACTACTTCGACTACAACCACGACGACGACATCTACGGTTACTACTACCACTACTACTACTACGACGACGACGACTACTACTACTACTACTACTACTGCGACTACTACTGCGGTTATTACTGCGACTATTACTACGACTACTACGTTGACTACAACTTTTGTCGCGAATACTGTTACTACTATAATTACTACTACTGCTACTGCTACGACTAGAACTATGGCTACTACTTCTACTATCATTTTCTTTTACTACTGCTTCTACTACTTCTACTGTTACTACTACTGCTACTACTACTACTACTATTATTACTACTACTACTACTACTACTAAAACTACTACTACTACTACTACTACTACTAGTACTATTACTACTACTACTACCACTACTACTACGACTACCACTACGACTACTAGTACCAATGCTACTACACCGACTATTGTGTCTGCCACTGTTACTACTAGTACTTCCACTACTACCACGATTGAGTACTTGTACTGCTCGGCCGCAGGTGGGAATTCAATATTTCAGTTGTTTCCCGGAGCTACCACAACGCTGTGTGCGGGGGGGCGGAGCGATACCTTGGGATGGACCACCCTTTCGGACATATGACGCACCACATCTCATTCGGCGAGGACGCACACGTGCTTTCAGGAAAACCTTTCGAACATGCAGCCTCCTAGTTCATTGGACGTGCTAATCAGTGCTGAGCATTTTGCGCAGACAGCAATCCAATCTTCTCAGGGCACAGACAGAGGAAGCTCACCGATATCCAGACGAATGTCGATCGTAAGATACTCAACAGGTTGCAAACGTGTTATTGAGTTCCCGCGGTGCTCGAGATATCGTTCGGTAAAAACTGCCCGTGGAAGTGATCAGTAACGGTGCCGTGCTACGAAAAACCCTGGGGGGTCCTTAACCATTTTACTGGGGTCCTATTCTTGTGTTATGGCCTGTGTATTGTTTCACCTTGTCTGCAGGAATCTTGCAACACCCGCGCGGTGCATGACGCAAGCCGTGCCGTCCCGGTATCCGTGCCCTCAGGTTTGGGAAAGCATCGCGTTTTGAGGTTTTTGCTATGTCAGGCTTCCGGGGGCCCTTGCCGGGCAGCGGGTCCGCCAAAAAACGGCTCAGGATGGAAAGCCGTTCACTGGGAACGGGTCGATGCATTTGGGGGTCGACGGTATGAACAAATCATGACGTCGGGGGTCTGGGGTGCGCGGGCGCCTCCAGATTCGGCGGCGAAATCAGAACCCGACCCTCGCAGATCAGCGGGTCAGGCATCTCGCTGGGCGGCGGGGGGTAGGGTTCGGAGTTCGCCGAGCACGTGGCGAGCTTTGACGCTTACCCCCGCTTTACGATGCAGAAGAATCGATGGTTCCCCACACCCGTGTCCAATCAGGGTCTCCCCATTTATTTTCTTTTCTCGGTTGCAGGACGCGGCAGCAACACGCATGCGCGCACACACACACACACACACACACATACATCATGCATATATTCACTTGCAGCCGCACGCGCACCATACAACGCTAGTGTACTTACTGCTGGCGCGCTCATTGCAACTTACACCGTTACACTGTAAGCGGCGCAACTGTATACACCACCCTTCCTCCGTTTTCGTATTCGCAACAGACAGACGCACGCAAGACATATTTACACATGCGCGCAAAAATTAGCTGCGCACAGGGCAGGCGTGTCACTTCCTGGACACCAGAGAAGGTGCGTATGGGGTGGAGGCGCTATATGTCATACGCTCGTAAAGCGTGGCAGATGTGGCACTTCCTGGGCACCAGAGGGGGTGCGCAGGGGGTTGGGTCGCTATCCGTCGTACGCTCGCACAGCGTGGCAGACGTTGATCTTCCTGGATACCAGAGAGTGCGCGCAGGGGGTATCCGTCATGCGTTCGCAAAGCGTGGCAGGCGTGGCACATGGCGCTATCCGTCGCACGCTCGCACGTCATGGCAGGCGTGGCACTTCCTGGACACCAGAGAGGGCATGCAGGGGGTATCGATCTTGCGCTCGCAAAGCGTGGCCGGCGTGGCACTTCCTGGGTACCAGACGGGGTGCGCAGGGGGTTGGGGCGCTATCCGTCGCACGCTCGCACGTCATGGCAGGCGTGGCACTTCCTGGACACCAGAATGCAGGGGGTATCTGTCGTGCGCTCGCAAACCGTGGCCGGCGTGGCACTTCCTGGACACCAGAGAGGGTGCGCGGGGGGGGGGGGGGGGGCGCTATCCGTCGTGCGCTCGCAAAGCGTGACAGGCGTGGCACCAGGAAGTCGCTGTCGTTCCCCAGTTCCCAGACTCTTCTGTGCAAGAGGGCGGGCGGCGAGTGGCTCCTCCAGCAAATTGCTCTGAGGATGCCCCCCATTCTGGTCTTCAAGGATCCCCTCCGTATATTGCGAAGGCCTTACGGCCGGTGCCGCCGACCCTGAATGGCGACGACGACGACGACGACGACGACGAGCGCTCTTGGGGGCCTCTTGGGGGTAGTTTGTGGGCCTCTTGGTAAGGTCTTAGGGGCCGCTTGGAAGCCTCTTGGGGCTTCCTGGGGGACTCTTGGAGGGGGCCTGGGACGTCTTGGAGGCTTCTTGGACGGTCTTGGGGCTGTCTTGGGCGTTTGCGGCAGATCTTTGGGCGACTCGGGGCCCTCTTGGGCCGTCTCGGGGGCCATCTTGGGCATTCGGACCTCATTTGGAGTGTTTTCGAGGTTTCTAGGCCGCCCGAGGAAAAACGAATCTGCCCCCCCACCCCCCCGGGACCCCCCCGGGACCCCCCCGGGACCCCCCCCGGGACCCCCCCCCCTGGGGAAGGGATCAAAGGGAAGGGGCTTCCCTTCGACTCGATTACGACACTGCTAGATTTTTCTCTCGCTCACGAGCTTGAGAAGGAAGCTGCAGGGAAAGGGGACGACGGAGGCGACGACCGACGGAGACGACGACTCGAACAGCCAAGCCCCTCGCACACGCCGACAGGGTCGGCGGATTTGGAGCGCACCACGGTCAAGAATTTGTGCTTGGCACGTCGCGCCGCCGGTTATGGCCCACCACGCTTCAGCACGACACGCTAATTATCCACGTCCCAGTCCCCATGCGTCAACGTCTCGAACTTGTCCCAGCCTCTGGCCCTACGGAGCGGAGCGACACGCTATCCGCTTGCAAGACACAGCGTGTCGCGGGGGACGCCGCCGCGAACGCGTGCCGTGCAGGCCAGCAGCAGCGATCTGCAGCACAGAAAGCACACAAAACACAGCAGCGCAGCACGGGGCAGCCTGACCTGGCTATGGCCGAGGCATGCGGGCCGTTGGGAAGCCAGCCCGAGGTGCAGGACCCAGACACCCGGCGTTTCGATGTTTTCGAGACACGGGCCCCCGACCTCTCGGCCGTTTACGCGGGACCCCGAGTCCTTTTTGACGGTCCCATGGCCCGGTAAAGGCCCCGAGAGGGCGAAAATGTTGGAAACCGCCGTCTCGATTTCGCGAGAGGCCAGGTGTCTGGGGAGGGAACGGGGCCAGATTGCGGCGACGCCCAAAAATCGCGACTGCCAGTTTTTGGTCGCTGTCGTTTTTTTCTTTGGGCCGTCTGCGGGCACCTGGACGGGTAGAAATGGAGTCAGGACAACATTTTGGCCGAGGGGAAGTGGTCGGCAGCCCGGGAGCCGGCCCCACCTGCCACGTCGGAGACGAGGTGTGCGCGCGGTCCACTGCTAGGGCGGAACCGGTCTCACGGGCGCAGAATCGGGTGGCTGGTGAGGGGTGTGATCTAAATGAGGGGGGTGGGACAAAAGGGCCAGTCCCCTCTTCTTCACCCTCCAGTCAGGCCACCCCCGATTACCACCCGCCTGGCAGATACCGCCTGGTGGTAATCCGCCCAGTGACCTCGAACTCCCGAAGGCCCCTGCCACCCAAAGATCCGAGGTATTGCTTGTGCTCAGCACGCAGTCCACGGAAGTCCCGACCCTTTACCCTTGGCCGGGATGGCACCCTGAGTTGCCTCTGACTGTCCCAGGGCCCGGCGAGGGCCCCTGTAGGCGGAAAAATATCAAAATTTGCCGCAATGAATTTTTCAATGTGCTCAAGGTATGGGCTGAAAGTCACGGCTGGAGCATCAGACACCATTTTTCTGCGCCATTATTTTTCGAGGTGCATCGATCTGTGATGATCCCAGGGCCCGAACCTTGGCAAAAAAACCCGACTGGACAAATTGCAGCACGAGGATCTCAGACTTGTGACGTCGGAGGCCCCGGGGGCTCGACGGCACGTCTTTCACCTCTGACCCGCCAGGCGGTCCGTACAATAGCCGTTTTGGCTCAGGAGCCCAGCCCCGGGGGCGAGGAGGAGGAGGAGGGAGAGGAAGAGGAAGAGGAGGAGGAGGAGGAGGAGGAGGAGGAGGAGGCGCACGTGGGCATCGGCGTTTCGACGCGAACTCGTCCGCATCACTGGGTCACCGAGGAGGGGGCGCGAAGGAGTGTGGGGCTTCCCTGGGGGCAAGGGCCAGTCGTCCCGCCAGGGTCCTCCTGCAACGACGCGGATGTTAGCCGCTTCTTTCTCCCGAGAGGGTCCTCCCGGCATGGTTGACGTTGGCCGCTTCCTTCTCCCGGCGAAGCTGATCTTGCAGAAGATCTGGCTGGCCTTCTGTTTCCGCCAGGGGTCTCGGGAGAGACGGGCCCGACACTTTCGGCCTTAGCTTGGCGACGGAGAGGGGGAGGAGGAGAAGGAGGAAAACGAGGAGGAGGCGGTCGCCGCTGGCGTGGCCAATGAGCTCCTCATGTTCGGATTTGTCAGGGACTCGCTGTGGCCGCCACCCGCCGAGGCGGCGCCGGGCCTGGGCCCGCCGCCCGGCGCAGCGGGAGGCGGAGCCGCCCCGTTCCCGTCGGCCGCGCTCGACGCCGTCTTGGCGTACGGCGTGGACACGGCCTTCAAGTACGGCCTGGACACGAGCTTCGGTGCGGTGCAGACGATGTGTGCCGTGCTGGGCCTGGTTGGCGGCGCCACCGTCATGGGCGTGGCAAGGAGAGCCTGGCTCCCCAATCGCATACCGGTGGTGCACATGTACAACCGTTTGCGACGGGAGGGCGGGCCGCTGCTGTGGCCACACCTGCGCCTTCGTTTCGGGGAGAGCCCGTACAGCAAGCTGACGCGGGACAGGGCCGTGATCTTGCAGGGGCGCCCGCAGGAGGGAAAGACGACGCTGTTGCGCACCTCCATCCCATGGTACAGAAGATGGAACGTGTGGCCCTTGTCAAACCTTTTCCTGTGGCGCGGCATCTACTTCAACGGGGCCCATGCCACGGGGACGTCCTTCGAGCGCTGGCTCGTGCAGCAACTGTTCGGGTCCGTGCCGCAGGGCGGTTCCGAGCTGCATGGCGCGCTGACGGAGTACCGCCACCGCCAGTGGTTCCGCATTTTGATGGAGAAGATGCGGCTGCCGTTCATGAACCCCCGGCCTGTTCTGCTCATCGTGGATCAGTTCGAGCAGCTCATGGTTATCGGAGCAGACGAAACTGAACACGGCCAGGAACTTTTGGCTTAGCGTGTTGCTCCGCCAGTTCTGGCCCACCACGCTCCGGCACGACGCGCTATCCACGGTCTGGTGCCCAGGGTCCCAGCCTCCCGCCTCGCAGAGCGGAGCGACGCGCTAACCGATTGCAAGACACGGCGTGTCGCCAGGGCCGCCGCCGCGACACGTTTCGTTTTGCATTCTTGGATCTGCGCTGGACCCTCCTGGCGGCGTCTCCATCGCTGATCCAGGAAATCCACGCGGACCTCCGAAAGTTTATGTTTATGCCGTTTTTGATTCCTGCAGGTCGCGCACCCAAGCCAAGCCTTGCCGTGGGCCGACATGCTGACGCAGCACCACGTGCGCGACAACCTAGCCCGTGTGATATTCGTCGTGAGCTCGGACGCGGGCGTGCAGTCGCTAAAGTGGTACACATACTTTGGGCAGAGGTACAACACAGTCGTCATGGACCCGCACTCCAGCCAGGACTTGTGGAAGCTGTCCATGATAGACCGCGAGCTGCTCTCGCGCTGTCAGAACTTGGAGCCGGCTGGAGGGCTGAGGAGGCCCAGCACTGGTTCCGGCCAGTAGAAGGGCAGGGAGGGATCCTTTTTCGTCCGTTTTGGACATCCTGGGGGGCTACTCGTCGCCACAGCTGGACGCGACTCGAACAACTTCTGTGATTGGAAGGGTCCGGGGACTGATTTGAGCGGATCTGCCTTCATGCCATCCATCTGAACCGATTCTCTCGGAGCCTATCTAGCGCAGACACACTGGCCGCCTCCTAGCCAGAACAACGTCGGACTCTACAAGCTCGTCCAGCGGGAGATCGAGGAGGGGAGGTTCACGGCCGATTGCGGTGACGAGCTGGCCAAGTTCGTCAAGCTGAAGTTGCTGCTGTGGACCTCCATGTTCTGCCTGAAGTTCCCCATCGGGATCCACCCGGACTGGATTCGCCAGCTGGGGAGTGAGGGCCTGGACAGCCTCAAGCGCTCGCTTCTCCAGGTGTTGGCTGTCCGTCTGCACGTGCCGACGCGCACGCCCGAGCAGTCATATCGTTTCGAGCGCGCCACGCTCGACGCGGTGACGAGGGTCCTGGCGCTGATGGACACGACGAACTTCCTGAGTACCAACCGGCAGGAGTAGTATTGCTTTGGGTTGCGCGCAGAGAGCCCCCCTTACTCAAGAGGCCCCCCGATTAGTCCCGGCTGGCCTCAACAGACCTTCCGAGTTATCTGGGGAGTCATTGGTGCCCAACGAGGGCAAATCAAGATGTCGTTCTCATCTGTTGGTGTTCATGACAGGGAACATGCAAAAGTGCAGAAACCGTGTGAAACTTACCGACTGGCAACAGCGGTTTCGAGCATCGGACGGGCATGAGCGCGCGTGCAAATGCTCTCCTTGAGACTTCTCTCTGCGTTGCCGCGCCAAGCCCGCGTGTCGGGAATCTTCGAGCGCGGACTGTTAAATATGTTGCCGATCTCGCAGGTGATGAAATCGTAACTGCCGAGGGGGAGGCGAGGGATGACGGCAACGAGGGAATAGGAGGACGGTGAGGAGTAGGACGACGACTAAGGAGGAGGAGGAGGAGGAGAAGGAGGATGACTACGGTTTACGGGCTTATCATGCCTCGAACTTGCGGAAGCAATTACAGGTTAGCCGCGTGACCAATCGAATTTCTTGAGCGCGCACACCAAACGAAACAAAAAGGCCAGGATCATTGCATGGGCTCCCCTAACAAATCAATAGCCCAATCCAGGCAACATGTTTTCGACAACAAGTGACACAACAAGTAAATCAAAAATGGTCGCCGCCCCCAGCATGAACATTTGCCAGAAGCAGAGATATCACCGACAATGATATGCTTTTTGCTGGAGGGGGTCAGCCTTTTCGCCGGGCATGCTCGTGCTCTTTGCAAGCTGCCCGGTGTGTCTTTTTGCGCGACGACGCCCTGCGACGCCGCCCGCGCTCGCGGTCCGGGGCCGCAGGGAGAGCGTCCCAGGCGCCCCATCTGTCGCTTGCTCCCCTGGCCAAGCTCCCCCACACACTGTTCCCTCTTCGGAGACGGCGGGGAGGGCGAGGAGGAGGAGGAGGAGGGCGACGACGACGGCGAACAGGAGAGAGAGAGAGAGAGAGATAGAGAGAGACGAGGAGGAAGAGGATGAACCAGAGGAGGGTTTGGAAGATGAGGGTGAGGAGCAGGAAACGAGCAGTATTCTGCCCTCGTCCGAGGGGCGCTGTTTTCTGAATGCAGGTAGTGGCTGTGTAAGGCTGCTTTTTTTGTTGCGCTCTGCGGGGTTGCTTTTTGTTTCTGTTCCTGCTCATCGATTTTGCCCTTGACGGGCGCTGGTGAGAGGCGGTCTGAGCACCTCAACCTGGGGAGCCGAGCGCCCCAAAGACGCCACCGGAGACGGTGCTGGGGTGTTGAGACCGCTCCAGGCTTCTCGGGAGGCTTGTTGAGGTCAGCCGGGGCTACTCAGGAAGCTTGTTGGGGCCAGCACGACTATTTGGGGGGCCTGTTGAGGCCAGGCAGGGCAGTCCTAGGGGGGCCGTCTGCGCGCACCCCGAAGCTTTCCCAAGCAGGAGTGGGAGAGGATCCTCCGGAACGAGGGCGTCATGGCGCCCCTGCTGTCGCGCATCGAGTCCAAGATGGTGGCGTGGCACGTCAAGAAGATCCTGTCCGCCTCCAAGGCGGATGCCGCGGTGGGCAAGAAGCCCACCTGGCGGGCGTGACCAGGCGTGACCGCGGCGGCGCACGAGGGGGGCGCTGGCAGGGGGCCCCTCGCAGCAACTGCCAGAAAAAGCAAGGAACCTAGTGCGACCCCAAATGAGGGGAGCGCTTCCTGCTGCATAGGCGTATTCTTGGCATTGCGTAGCGTCGCTTGGCGTTACAAGCGTTGCTTGGAACCTAGCAGCACCGAGGAACGCCGCTGTAAGCAAACAAAACTAAGGACCCCCGAGGAACGCCAGTGTAGACGAAGGATCCCCGAGGAACGATTGCACGGACGCGCGACCAAGGAATTCCGAGCAACGCCAGTGCATGCAAACAGGACCACAGAACCCCGAGCAACGCCTGCCAGCGCAGGCCTCGCACCCACCCCTTGTTCAAAAACACACTGGTGCCCCTTTGGGCATGCCTGACTGGAGAAGAGCTATAGTTTACATAGCCTTTCGTCGTATCTGCCGACCTGTTCGTCTCAGTCCATGTTTTCGAGTCCTCTTGGGGCTTCCATGGGTCCACGGGATCCTCCTGTGGGCGTCTTGGGGGCCTCACAGGGGTCTCTCAGAAGCTTGCTCCGGCTTCCTGGGGGCTTTCTTGGGCTGTATTTGGTAGGTCTTGACTTGTGAGATGTCTTCTGACGTTGGCCATCGCGATCATGACGAATCAAGGGGGCCCCAAGGGAGCGTCCACGAGGGCCCCGAGACAACCGAAGAGGCCACCAAGATGGCCATAACACGAAGGGGCCCCAAGCTGTGTCGGTCACTGGTCCGTCTGGGCACGGGAGCCTTGGCGTCAAAGTTGCGTCCGTCACTGGGCCGTCTTGGGGCCGTCCTGGGGCGCCTCTGGAGAGCCTCTGGGAGGCAATTTTGGTGCCTCTTGGGGCCTCTAGGGGGTGTTGTGGCTCGGTTAAGGGCTTACAGGATGCCTTTCAGGCAGTCTTGGGGGCGTCTGGACCAGCTTGGAGCCCTCCAGGGTCGTCGTTGGGGCCTTTCTCGGGCCGTCTTGAGGGCTTCTCGGGCCGTCTTGGGGCTCTTTCGGACGGCCTCTTGGTCGTCTTGGGGCTCTCTGGGGCCGTGTTGGGGTGCTCTCGTCTTTGGGCCCTTTGGGAGTGTATGGGACTGTTTCGGAGCGATACGGGAGGTTTTTGGAGCCGGCTGGGCTTTTCGGAAGCTCAGAAAAGCGAGAAGGCCAAAATCCTCCAAAGGCCTCAATCCAATCACAGAATGTGGTTTTTGGTGCGATATTGGGGATCCTTTGGGGGTCTCTGGAAGTCGCTTGACAGCCTCTTGGGGTCTCTTGGCGACCTCTTAGGGCCTCCTGGGCCCTCTTGAGGGCCTCTTGAAGGTCGCTTCGGCTTTCTCAGACCTCCACAGACCGAGAAGGCGATAATTAGTCCCCATAATTTACAGAAGCCGAAAGACAGTCAGTGAGTCTTGCCCGTGAGTGGGTCGTCTTGGTTCGATCTCGGGCCGTCTTGGAGACATTTTGGATCGATATTGTACTCTCTTTGGACCGTCTTGGCCGTCTTTGAGGCATCTTGGGCCGTCTTGGAGCCCATCTTGGAGGCTTGGCAGCCCTAAAAAGCCCCGGGTGAACTCATCCGAAGGTCGTCTTGCACAGTCCCCCCCTCAACCGCGCAATTTGGCACCTAGTGAGAGCGGGTATTACGGCGAGGAAATTTCACACGCCTGGAGACCCCAATACCCAAGATGTGTTGGCGGACTCATCCGACGGCGTGATCGACGGACCGTTCGGGGACTCCCGAGAGCTGGCGCGGATCTGCTTGAGCAGCTAGCAGCTTCAATTTGCCGAGTAGGGACGGGGGATCGGAGCGCCACCGAGTTATGGAGGAGGCACGTGACGTGAGGAGCAGGAGAGGGCCGAGGAACTCACGCTGAGCTCTCTTGTTGTACCCGCTTTATTTCTTGTCTGTCTTAGATTGTTACCGGTGCAGGCGTATGGCTGGAGGCGCTGCCTTCTTGACAGAGGTGTCAGAGGAGGCGTTCTTTGCTGGCACCCTCGCTAAGGCAGCGCAGGCAGCCGTTGGTTTGGTGTTGTCGTGTTCGGTTCCCCTTTCTTTCTCCTTCCTTCCCATCACTGCGGACGTCTGGGCCACATCGCCCCCTCTCTCTTTCTCTCGCTCTTTGTCATTTGTTTGCTGCTCCTCTATCTTTATTTCCCTTTCCCTCCGTGTCTCTCTCTCTCTCTCTTTCTCTCTCGCTGTTTGTGTGTCTCTCTCTCTTTCTCTGTCTTTCTTCCTCGCTGTTTGTGTCTCTCGCTCTCTCTCTCTCTCTCTCTTTCTGTCTCTCTGTATCTCTCTCTCTCTCTCTCTCTTTCCTTTCCTACATCTATAGCTCCTCTCTATTCTGACTCTCTGCGCGGGTTTGTTTAAGCCACCCATTCTCTCTCCCTCTGTCTTCGTTTTTATGTGTCGTTCCCCAAACGATGCTCGAATTTAGGGCTTCCCGCTCTAAGGAACTAGGCCGGGTCTTCGTCCTGGCGGCTATGTGGCCGCCGTCGCCGCCTCGTCGCCGCCCGTCGTCAGGGCCGTGTCTTCGGTCTGGCAGCTATGTGGCCACCGTCGCCGCCCAGTCGCCGCCCAAGATTGCCCAACATAGATTCTCTTTACTAAAAGAGTATGGGAACTACTTCCCCTCCCCGCACTGCTGAAAACAATGTACATATGATTCTGCCCTGCCCCGCCTTCCATCCAACATATGAATTCAGACCATCCTATGCAGGCCCTTATCGCCCCTCCCCCCTCATCCTTTGCAACAAAAACTATGCGCGCACACCAGTTTGTCAACAGTCATCAGTTTTCAAGAACCCTTGCAACAGACGGGACGGTGTGCACACGCGCGCGTCGTCGCGCGCGCATGCCAAAATGTTCCACAAACCTTAGGGTTCGCAAGGGTTTCAAAACCGAGTGTCCCGAACACATCTTAAACTTTAATGTTTTCGCAGCACTAGCTTTCAACAGAAAGGCCTGCGCCGCCTGCGCTAGCGCTCTTGCGACTTCTTACCGAGCACATTGTTGTTCAGCCTGATCATCACATGCGTCCAAACGTGCTATTCGCGCCGTATGTCGAAATCGCTTGCACGTCCTTGCGCGCGTGCTGCCGCAATAATCCTTTGCAGGACATGGGGCGAAGTGCACGCGCGCGAGTCGTCGCGAGCGCATGCCAATCCTTCAAAAACCTCAGGTCCCGTACGAATGTCAAAACCGAGTGTCCCGAAACCATATTCAAACATATGGGTTTGCAGCATCAGTGCTCAAAAAAAGGCCTGCGCTCGCGCTTTTGCAAGTTCATACGAACACCATGGGTGTTCCAACATGTTCGCCAACTTCTGCCAAACGTGCCTCTCGAGCCGCATGTGGAAGTCATTCGGACGCCCCTGCGCGCGTGCGGAGGGGGGGCGCGATCCTTGTCAAACAATACAGTGTGGACCACTCTCGCGTGTCGGCCGCGCGCGCATGTCGAACTTTGCCCGAAACCTTAATCAGCATCGGCGCCATCATTGGCCTTTCCATTGTCACTGTCACTATCGTCACCAGAATCGCTACTATCCTCATCGTGTCTACCGTTGTCGACGCTGCAATGATACCGCGCCCGCCTGAGTCACCGAATCGCACTGAAGTGCCCGCCGGGAAGTGCCCAGCGGTCAGCGTCACCGCGGCCACGTCGGTCACGCCAGACTTCATGGCCGCTGCTCGCCCGAGCATGCGCGGGCTACCGCGGCCGCAGGAATGCACTAGCCAACACCAAGCACTCACCGCAATCGCCGCAGCATGGGTTTTACAAGCCAAGTTGCGGGTGGGTGGGTGGGATGATTGAGCGAGCAATGGACTTGACAATTCATTGCGAACAGAAATTGCTTGCAACTTGTAGATTCTCCTTTCTAAAAGAGTAATAGATTCTACCCCCCCTCCGGACTTATCGCTTCCCCCGCGCGTGCTGTAAATTACATATGATTTTGACCACATGTCCATCCTAAATATGAATTCATACCATCCCAGCCAAGCCGGTATCCCACCCCTGCGGTTCCCTGTCTAATAACATTATGCGGGGACATGTTTTGCTTAACATAGCACTTTTTCACGAATCCCTGTCAAAGAATATCATGCGGGAGACATTCGCGCGCGCAAGACGAAATCCTTCCAAAACCTTAGTGTTCGTATCGATTTTAACATAAAAACATCAAAAACCCAATGGTTTTTCAAAAAAACAAGTTTCAAACATTCACCCCGCGCGCTCTTGCGGATTCCTAGGGAACCCACTACTGTTTTTAACATTTCTGTCTAAAGGGCTCTTGCGAGCAACTGTTTCCTGCGCTTCGAACTTCTTCAATAACGGCTGCGCGCCTGCCAGGGGGCATAATCCTTGTCAAATAATGCCATGCGGGACACATTCGTTTTTTCTTCGCGCGCGCGCGCGCCGAAATCTTCAAAAACCATTGGGTTTCTTGAGCATTTCAGCACTGCGTATCATAAAAACAAACGAATCGCACCGTAGGTCCTCGAAAAAACCTGCACGGATTTTCAAAATTTTGCCCGCTCGCGCTGTCCGAACCTTAAAAAACCAATGTTTTTTTTCAACATTTCGGTCGCACGAGCTCGTGCGAGCTACTTTCGCGCGCTCCTTCAACGACGTTCGCGCGCCTGCCAGGGCCACTGTCCGTGTCAAATAATACCCTGCGGGACACATGCGCGCGCGCCGTCGTCGTCGTCGTCGTCGTCGTCGTCGTCGTCGTCGTCGTCGTCGTCGTCGTCGTCGTCGTCGTCGTCGTCGACGCCGTCGTCGGCGTCAGGTACTCGCTAGGAAGCTTCGCTGGGTACTTGCAGCCACGGTCTGGTGAGTTTTGCTGACCAAGTTGCGGGTGGGAGGGTGGGATGTTTGCTCGAGCAATGGAGAAGACAACTTCAAGTTCAGCAAATTAACTGCACAACGTAGACAGCACCGCATACATGATCCTTTGTAGGGTATTATCCGTAAGGGTTTCGCCCCATGCC